TTTTATAAAACATTCTTATAAACGTTATTAACTTTTTTAACAACTTTTAATTGACTACATTTAGTATGGTTATAGTTTTAAGTATTTGGTTTTGATTTTTATAAAATTTTCAACAATTGAAAACCAATATTAAAAATTAAAAATTTATTTAAAACAAATCTTAACATTAACAAATAAAAATATTTACTTATTTAATAATATCACAACTATTTTTGTTTTTATTTCTCTAATAATCATAATGATATATTAAAAAATATATGAAAGTAAATGAGGTTTTTTTTTTTTGTTTGGAATTATGAAATTTATAAAAACCAAAACTAAAAATCCAAAACTACAACCATAAAGCCTTTTTCTTAACAGTATGTTAACAATTTTTTCAGCTATTATCAAATTTATAAAAGGGAGTTGAATTTCTTAATGAACTCAAATCTTTTGGAAAAAAGAGTTGACATATGTCAAACCAAAAAAAAAAAAAAAAAGAGGGGGAATTTAAGATAATAATGTTATGAATATTGGTTATTACACTTTTTTTTTTCTACTAATGGAAGTAATCATATAACTATTACATTTTTACTAATGTAAAAGATGACTAATGAATTATTTTCATTATAAAATGTATTATGGGTATTTATTTTTTAATAGACAATCATTATCTTCTATTATCTCTTATCTATATAATGGATAACTAATAAATAATAATTTATTGAGACTTATTGATATATTTATACCTCCGACCTTTCCAACTGAAATTCCTTACCTTATTGCATGGTAAACTTCATTTTCAAGTTACGATTCTCTTCATATATAAATAGAATTATTATATGTAAAATAAAAAGAGAAACCACAATTATTTTTTTTTTCCTTTTGTTAATGTTATTCTTTCAATTCTTTATTGTTTTCATTTCTTCTATTTTCTTATAATTTATAACAAATAATGAATTGAATTACTTAAAAGGAATATTCCTTCCGTCTGGGGACCCAACATGATAAAAAAAGAATTAGGATAAAGGAGAGAGGAAAAAGTAAAAAGGTGGAGCCGAATTGCTCAACAAGTGGTGATAGCATAGGGAATAATAATTTGTCGTTTTTTCATCGGTAGATGTTATAATTATAATATCATATAAAATTATAAAATTATAATTTTAATAATTATTAAATTAAATATAATATAATATTAAATAAATGAATATATATAATATTATAAGTAAATTTTTGAATAAAAAAATAATTATATAAAAACATATCATATTATAAATTTATAGTGTTATATGATATTATAACTATAACATTTTTATTTTTTTATTTCTCAGGAATTAAAAATTAATAAATGAAAATTTTAATAAAATATTAAAATTTAAAATTTTGTGTTTTACACTTATTAAGAATCTTTAAGTGTTTTTCCATAAAAGATTTATGCACATTTGATTTAACACACTTATTTAAAAATTATTATTTTTTAATTTGAAATTAAAAGCGTCTAAGTTTAAAGATATAATTATGCACACATAATATATGAACATGTTAAATCGATA